ATTTGTAAATAATCATTTTGTTTTAAATTTAGGACCAAATATAAAAAAAAGTATTCCATAAATGTATAATGTCTAAAGATTTAAATATGTAAAGTTTTAGTTCATTTCAATTAGGCCTTGTTTAGCTAGGTACAATTTTCATTTTTTGCAACAGTCCGATCAAGTCCCAAAGTTTATTTGAATTAATGTTCATGTTTTGTTCAGTATGGTCAACATTTTGTTGTATCTGGTTTAATTTTGTCTGGACAGAGTTTTTTTATTTAATAGTCCGGTTCGGTTCAGTCTAGATTTTTTTTTTATTTTATAGTCCAGTTCGGTTCGGTCTGGAAATTTTTTTTTATTTATTGTCCGGTTCGGTTCGGTCCATTTAAAATTTCTATCCGGTCTGGTCCAATTTAAATTTCATATAATAGTTCAGTCCGTTCTTTTTTTTAGTTTTTTAGTACGGTTCGGTCCGGTCCTTGAAAATTCGGACCATGTATAGCTCTAGTGCCAGGGCACACTCTAATATAAAAAACAATATTTATTTATGATATGCATACGCATAAATTGGATTTCAGTTTTTTGTAAATTAAATTGCAAATGTTCAAAATAGTCTGCAATAATAATCACATCATAGGCGTTTGCCAATGACATGATTATTTTTATACGAGATTGCTGATCGTTCTTGTTTATATTTGTCGGTTTTACAATGGTGGTAACTATTTTTAGCTTTATCTCATTTATTGTCTTATATCGAAAACTAATACCATGCTGATATCGACGATTGATAACTAATACTTGATAGTTCGATTTTTTTATCTAACATGATGTCACGAATCAAGCAATTCATACGTCATGCACACCAGGTAACATTATAATATTATTGTTAACTTTGTGTAAACCAATCTCCGACGACAAAAGTTTATATACTATTTTATTCTACTGTCTCGGTTAAGCGCATATGCACATACGTTAACGGTTAGTCAATGTCAATTTATTTTAAAAATTTTTTGAAATAATTGAAACAACTAAACAAAGTGATGTTAAAATTAAAGGAATTGGTTTATTACATCAAGTAAAATCTTTTAATTTCATATTCGGGTTAACAATGATGCACCCCATACTACAATTAATAGTTAAGGTAAGCAAATTGCTGCAAAGTTCCGATATTAATCTCATTAATGCTATGACCAGCATTAAGTCTCTTCAAGCAGCATTTATAAATCTAAGAAGTGATACAGAATTTCAACAAATAATTAATGAAGCAACAGATTTATGCATAGAACAAGAAATAGATATTCCATCAGTTAAAAAATGGAAGGTATCAGGTCACATCAACGAATCTGCCAAAATACAACATTGTTATGAAACTAAAGAAGAACTATAAAGTTTGTGTTTTTATCAAATTTTAAATAACATGGTATCGTCGTTAGATTGAAGATTTCAGCAGGAAACAATCAAAATTACAAATGCTGTTTGAAATCTCTTAAATCTAAAATTAAATTAAGAAGAAGCAGCTATTTTAGAAGAAACATTTAAAATTTCTCAAGATGATTTAATGGTAGAAATTAAATTGTTAAAAGCACATCAGACAGTAATTACTGGAAATTCAGCAACGACATTAAATAAATGGATCTAGTGGATGCAAGAAAATTAATAATATAAAATATATTCAGCTTTCAATGCAGCAATTCAAAGTTTTTCTGTCATACCCGTAACAAGTTGCTCTTGCGAAAGAGCGATTTCTAACTTGACTTATGTAAAAATGAAGTTAAGGTCTACTATGACACAAATTAGATTGGAATCACTCATGTTGTTATACGTCAAACAAGAGTTAACGGGCAATGTTTAAACCTCTGAAATTATAGAAGAATTTAAAAGTATTGTACCGTTTCAAAGATTATTACTATAAGACATTTAATAATTATATATTTAATAAAAATTAATACAAAAAATACATGTCCATTTTTTTTATAGTCTCTACAGAGTGTCCCGTCGTGTTTTCTTCAGTTGAATAACTCTTGAAATAATAGAGATATTTGCATGCGGGTTTTTTCACAATATTCACTACAAATTAGACTAAATTTATTTCAATTAAAAAATTAACTTTTTATTTTTTGTGATATTTATATTATTAACATGGCCATATCTCAGCTCTTTTTTTAAAATAAATTTGGATGTGTTAATAACAACTTTGGGATAAGTACTTGTTGAGTTACAAGATTTAAAACATGGAGTGGTATGAAGCGCCATTGGGAGTTTATTTATAATGAATTTATAAATACACACTATTACAAGTTATACCCACCCGCCTCACATATAACCTCGTAAAATTCACAAAAACCCATAAAACCTCCAATAATCCCATATATATTACAAAAAAAAATATTTTCGGACACACTCAAATGTAAAACTCTGAATTCGTCTATGGTGAAGTGTCTTATAATTTTAATGATATGTCATTCAGTCTGTCAGTAACAAAAATAAAAAGTTAAAAATTATCCCATTTTGAGATAGCTTAATATTAAAAGATAATTTTTTTTAGTATTCTTAACTACTAGAGCTAAACTATGTTTCAAATTTCAAAAGGCGATCTAAAAGAAAACAAAGATACAGATGTTAGAAAAACCGGGCTAGTTATTACGTGTAAAGATACACTAGTGTTGCTAGAACTTGCCCAATCGTGTTGCTGTGCGCTCAGATCTAGAGGAATGTGCATAAATGTATGTAAACATACATATATATATACGGAACACTTTCAAAAGTTAAGTTGAAAAAGTTCTACTTTCTACATACATTTTTTAAATTTGAACCCCCCTCGTATATAGGAAAATGGTCCGATTTAAAAAACAGTATGTCGAATGAAAGATGTATATAAATACTACTTCTCATGAAAAATTGTATTGATACATACATTTTTCAAAAAGTTTTAGCATAACAAAGTTAAAAATGTAAAATACAAAATCAAAAATGTTCACACAAAAATAGAATTCGGTAGCAATTTTCACCGTGAAGACAAAATAAAGTCCCAAATTTTTTTTTTCAATAATAAAGTATACTAGATTAGCTTTAATTTAAGATATATATAAAAGTGTCAGACTTTCCGGAACATTTTCAAAAGTCAAGTTGAAAAAATTAATTTTTTGTGAAAAAATCCCCCCCGTGGGCAGGTAAAGGGTCAGATTTATAAAAAAAATATACCAAATAAAAGGTAATGATATCATGCATCTTTATAGAAAAATAATTATTTTGATTTTGTTATTTTTAAAAAAGTTATGGTAATTTTAAGTAAAAAAAATTGAAAAAATTTCGAAAATTAGCGATTTTTAAATATGTAATTTTTTTGGAGGTTTCCCCCATTTACGGGGAACGAGGGATTTTTTTTCAATTTTTGAGGGTAATGTATTCGACTAGATACGATTTGTGATCTTTTGACGATCATAGAAAGAAATCGGTTCGGTGAGAGCTGAGAAAAAGTGGTAACAGACATAAAAAAATAAAATAAAAATAAACACATCTTATTAAAACCAATACCTTCTCAGCTTCGCATCGAAGCTAAAACTTGAAAAAAATTCGAAAATTAGCGATTTCTAAATTTATAATTTTTTTGGAGATTTCCCCCATTTATGGAGAATGACGGATATTTTTTCAATTTTTGAGGGTAATGTCTTCAACTAGATACGATTTGTGATCTTATGACGTATCGTTGAAAGAAATCGGTTCGACGAGAGCTGAGAAAAAGTGATATCAGACACAAAAAAAAAACACATCATAGTAAAACTAATACCTTCTCAGCTTCGCATCGAAGTTAAAATAAAGTACTTTTTAAAAGGTGCCTCTAAAAAGTATTTAACCACTTATAAATCGATATATAAATACTTTTCAACAAAGCAAAAATATTATTTTCAAGATTATTATTAATTTAGAAAAAATTAAGAGGCCAATGATAAAGTAATCACCCTAATTGATTGAAGATGTATTTTATGGGGGTTGTAAAAATTTGTTAATATTTATAGTCTCTCAAGACTTAGAATAGGTTTTTAATAAACCCAGTACGGTGCTAATTATATCTAACTTCCCCCTCTTAAAATTTATTTTGTATAATTATAGTTTTTCTAAGAAATTGGAGGAGCTGAGCTCCTTAAAAAAACGCTAAGTTTGTACACATTCCCCTGACGTCCTTAATAGTAATTTAAACCCGCACATTAAACATCTATCAATAATAAATAATAACAGTCGAAACACTAACAAAATAAAAACACCAAAAAATATTCTTCAAAGAGTATAAATAATTAAACTCAAACAAAATAATGGCCAAACTCGGATGAATCGCAATAAAATACAAATATTAGTCTATTATTATTACTTTTACTTTATCATGAAAACGTTATAAATAAAACTAAAATAAATAAAAAACAAACAATCATATACATAGAGAATTATATTATTTATGTAAAGTATGAGAGTGCATCAATCACCCTACTTCATAAGTATGCCACTAGCTTAACTGATAAAATAATTATAATTTATAGCTATAAATGATATATGTATACGAGTAGTATTCTGCTTACGTTATCAAGAAATATATTTTTATGTATACCTAAAATGCTATTTTATCTCCGAACAGCCAAAATTAAGTTCGCTTTACCATAATTATGGTAATATTAAAAAAAATACCATAAGGTATTTCTTTTATAAAAATATTGCTGAAGAAATATTGATCGAGGAATGTCAGGCACGTTTTCTAAAAGGCAACTCATCATTTCAAAAATATTTATAATTCAATGTAATTACTCGTTTAAACTTGATAATAATTTATGGAAAAAGTGAAATTTTCCCTTAAATCACTCTTAAGAAATAAAACCCTGGCTACGTACTCAAGTAAACCATTTTTCCTTAATTAAGAAAGTTGAATTTTAAAATACGTCTCCAATAGTTAGAATATAATTGTTGTACATAATAAACCTTTATAATAATTATAATACTTCGCTACAATAACTTTATAGTGATAATGTTACCTATTTAAATGATTTTTTAATCCATTTGTTTCATCTACTTCAGCACTTCGCTTTGCCTTGACGTTTAGTTCATAGAAATCATTTACAGAATGATCAGTTATATTTTTGGTGGGTGGAAAGTTATCAAATAAATCTTTGCCCATGAATTTATCATCTTCGTAATCTTCATCCAATTCATCATTATAATTCATTCCATCACTTTTATCTTTCATTTCCTTATAAATGCTATGCTCATTTTTTGCTAATTGACTTTTGACAGTGTTAGTAAATATATTTAAATCTTTTATAACCTCTTCAACTGTATCTAGCAATCGATCAATTTGATTTTTTGTATCGGCATGCCATTTAAAAGATAATGTTACAGTTAATAAACAACTAAATAGACACAAAATAATAGACAGTGTAAAAATAGTTGAGGATATTGAAAACCTCTTTGGTTGTGTAGGTATTTTGAAATTAGGATAAAATCCACCGCTACCTATGTACATATTTTGACAGTCTAATGGTAAAGGAATTTGATGAATTTTAGAAGATTCAATAGAACACATTTTTAATTTAACATAACACACACACTTATGTTTCACTACAAACTACTACAGTAATTCTAAGTTAACTAAATATTCTGTTATGTCATTAGAATTTAAATTTGTAATACATACTTTATCTAGGCTTTATGTATATTTTGTGAACTCTGATCTTTAATCTTACAGATATGAATAATCGTTTGTGAATGTAATATAACATATTTTCCAAAACAATTAAATTGTTTTCATTTCTCTTAACCTTCATTCATATTCATTTAATGAAAAAATAATCCAGTTATTTTCTTTATAAAACTTAACGAGTTGATACAATTAAGTTCAGATTTTCATAAAAAATTCCGCAATTACTAAAGAGCACTCATTCAAAAGAGAATCAAGTTTAAAATAATATTATTTTTTAAGCGTTTACTATGCAGTTTTTACAAAACTTAAGCGCCCTATTATCTAGTTACCTTCAATTCACAATTTAAGTTAGAATTATTATGGAATTGTGATTAAAATGATTATTAAGTTTTAATAATTATATTGAAAAACAATAATAATAATCACTAAAAAAAACCTCAATAGTTTTTTTGTAATTAAAAACTTTACAGGTTCTTAAATAAACTCGTGAAATAGAAAAACATTACATTTTGTTATTTCAAAAATTGTACGTATTTAATTAGTTATTTAAAATAAAAAAATTATATTAATCAACTAATTAATTAGTTGGTATTAAGGCAAGGAATGATTTAAAAACAAGATATTATGTTTTTATCATTAACTTTCAAAATCTATAATCTAGACATCTTAAATATGATTACATAAGTGCAGAAAAGTATTCAAGGCACATTAAGGGTGTAGACCAAAGGCGCAAATTTTATAATTTTCTTTTTTAAGAACTAAATAAGTATTATTATAAAGTATGCATAAATTAATAATAATAATTTATCATTATTTCGAAATGACAACTTTTTTTTAAAAGAAGCAGAATGTAATAAAGTAAATCTCATAATTAATTTTTTGTGAAAATAAAATGTTAAAGATTTTACCACTAAGTTATTATGTCAATAAGCTTTTTTTTGTGATAAAATACTTAATTTTTTTTCTAATTATAATTATATATTGTATGTTTGACGATTAAATGTAATTTTAATATACATTAAAAAATGTTTCTTTGAACGTTTTTTGCAATTTAACATGATTAAAAAAAGTAAATTAGGTAAAGATAATACATTATTCAAAAGAAAACCAATAGAAATAAATTTGCCCATAATACAAAAATTGTTTTTTGTCTCCTAATAAATGTAAAAATTTAGATACTAAGTATTGTCACAAAAGTACCAACATAAATTATAAAGCAGCATTTATGTAGGCAATCAAATTTAGTAGTTCAGCCATAATTAAATTTGATTTTGAAAATGAAATCAAAAAATATTTAGATTAATAAACAGCATTAGGTACATAAAAACAAGAGAATCACGACTATAATTATAAACATGATACAACAAAGTTTTCTAATAGAATTATTTTTTATTATGTAGTACGACTTAAAATATTCACAATAAACAATAAAATTAATATTTTAACTAAGTCTGTTTTTTTAATATAATTATTAACATGTTCAATAAACTAAATAATATAAGTATTTTTCCAGACAAGAATAATGGCTTAATGAAAAAATAATCATTGCTTAGTCACAAAAAATGTATTTAAATGTATGTATATAAATTTATGTAATATTTAATATCATATTTTAAGAATTAAATGCGAGATCCAGTTAAATGATAGTGAAAAAGTATGGTTAAAAGGAAAATTAGCCAAGTCTCATTCAAATTTCTCGCTGTCATAAAACTTAATATATTAGTTGGAAGTCGCGTAACCAAAATGCTTATTAGTATGAAAATTAGTTAGCTTTTCAACATATTTATATATTATATAATATAAATATATAAATATTTAATACATTCAAACATATTTTTACAAACTAACAAATTCAGTCGTAATAAACCATTAATTGGTTAAGGTCTAAAATTAAGTAGTGTTAAGCCACTTAGTGTTTTATATGACCAAATAGTCTGCTTCAGAATTAAAACACAATTTTATTACAATATAAACAAAATTGTCGTATTATATTTTGTTATTTATACAAATAGGCAAAGAAAACTCATCTTAGCCTTTTTAAACAATTTTTGAGCCAATATCCAACATATGTTTAGTTACGCAATTATAAAAAACAAAACAATCTTAGCTTAATGATTACTTAAATTACTTATTACTCTTTTCTAATATCATGAAATTCATAAATATATATATATATATATTTTAAATTAATTATTAAATAATATTGTTTACAAAAATGTATAATACAAAAAAAAAATGTTAGTCAGTCGATTGTTGACTTAAGGCTGTATATTATCATTTCGTCTATCAAGTGCGTCTAAAAGTTTTGTTGTAAATTCAAAATTTTCGCTCCTGTGATATTCAGTTAAGATAAATCTAGAAAAAAAAATATATTTAAAGAACAATAGTACTTAACAGTAAAATATATACATATGTACTTTTTTTGTATGGATTTACTGACTTAAACAACAGTAATGCGATTCAAAATTAAAATAACTTCTAACAATTCTTAACTAAGAGGATACCAAATATAAGATAAAACTATGATACATTGTACAGTTCAGGTAAATTGAAAATTAATAAATGTATTTTTTATAAAGAACTAAATTTTTTTATATTTAAATATTTGAAAAATCATTTTTAACGTTAAAATAAAATGAAAGAGGTTTTCTCAAAAATAAACTTATAAATAAAAAAATTATTTGTAAAATTAAAACTCACAACTAGGATCTTCAGCAGCTTCAAAACGTCTGTGTAGTTGATCATTGGAAAATTTCACGAATGCTTCATACTGTTCTGAAAGTTTCATATTTAAAATTTTATCATATTCTTCTCGTAATTGACTTTCACGTTCATTCAACATGCGTTCACATATAATACCAACCTAAATCATTTTTAAGAAATTATTAAAATACAATAATTGAATATGAAGACTAGAGTAATAATTAACTGAAATATTTATTTAAATTGAAAAAATTTTCCTCGTTCCCCGTAAATGGGAGAAACCTCCAAAAAAATTACAAATTTAAAAATCGCTAATTTTCGAAATTTTTTCAAATTATTTTACTTAAAACTGCCATAACTTTTTCAAAAATGAACAAATCAATATCATTTTTTTTAAATAGATGCTTGATGTTTTTACCTATCATTTGGTATATTTTTTTTTTTATAAATCTGACCGTTTACCTGCCCACAGGAGGAGATTCAAAATGACAACTTTTTCAACTTAACTTTTGAAAGTATTAATCAGGATATAAATAAGGAAATAGCAAATCATGTAGCTTTTGGAATAATCCACCAAATTTTTAAAATTAAACACTATCTAAAGATTTGCATTGAAGCGTTTTTTATGATAGTGATTTATAATCACATAAAGATATCATAATACTTGATCCAATTATGCCAAGTCACTACTGTGGCGCGACACCCCTGTGCTAGATTTTTTTTTAATACTAGTCAAAAACTATTATACTATAATTTTAACGAAAGTTATAAAAATATAATAACTTTTTTTTACATAAATTCAAATAAATATTATTTATTACGATATAATTAGTCTGACAAATATTCAAGTAACATAAAATATTTACTAAACTAAAGACTTTGTTGTATCTTCATTAGTTCCTTTGTTTTACATAAAATTTAATTGACATCTAAATTTAAAACAATTTGTTTCTACTAAATACCTGACGAAATGAGAACAATGGTTTATCTTTAGCTGATGATGGAAATGTATTTTCTGAAGAGCTATCAGATGAAGAACTATCATCAAAGTTTCGATGTTCAGATAATTCCATATTCAACTGTCTTTTACGACGCATCCTTTGAACTTCTTCAGTCAAACTAGCTGATAACATTTCTAAAAATATTAATAATAAAGGTCATCAATAATTATTATAAATTTTACAAAAATTACTTAAAATAATTACTTTAATAATAAGAACTAATAATTAACTCTCAAATTGTCATTAGTCATAACTAAATACAATAAAACATCATTAAAACACTCTTGTAAGGAAATTCGTACAAATTCTATAAGAAATGCTACAAAATTAGAAACCCATCTGATAATCTTAATGATTTAATCGAAGGATCTTCTTTGATACATCAGGAATATTATGTTATTCAAGATAAGATAATTGCTATAATGGCTTTTTTGTATTATAAGCATGACTTAAATTACTAAAAGTCTAAAGGAACTAAAGAAGACGACTTATCAAGATAGACCTTATTTAGTGTAATTTTTCTATGCTAAAAAATTTTAAATATCATAAATTAGGAATATAAAATCAATGTATTACTTGGGATTGCATATTAAGTATGCGCTTCTTACTTGAGTTTTATAGTATTTAGAAATATTTTATTTTGCAGTATTTCAATAACTATTGAAATGTTTTCCAAAATTGTTTAATATTACTTTATATTCAGTTCACTAATATAAGGCTCTACAAACCTCAAGACTAATCTAACAAAAAATGTTTGCAATTCAATTTTTACCAGTGATGATTAATCTAGATAAGATTTTACTTTCATTTAATTTCATACAATTTTAAATGGCTAAAAAATTTACCAATAAAATAACAAAAATAATAAAGACCTACTTAAATATTCTTCAACCATCTTCCAAATAATTATTTAACATATAAGAAATAGACAATAAAAACTAAACAATATCATCTCACTTTGATGAGAAGAGTAGGGTTAACTACTCAAATGAAAAACTTAATAACTGAAAATTATTTAATAATAAAATGAATAATCAATGAATTTTATTTAATTATCTTATTGAAAACATTTAAAAAAAAATTTATATTAAATAAATAAAATGTTTTAAAAATTAATAGGATTTTTAGTTTTTAGAGATTATGTTAAACTACTGCTAAAAAAAAGACAATAGTTATAGACAGAATTTAAAAAGGTAAAACTGATCCGTCTTTTTTACAATTAAAATTAGGGTTTAGCTCAAAAAGAACAAAAATGACTAGTTACTTTTGTGTCACTTAAAAAAAAATTGTCCTTAATTAGTATAAGAGAAATCAATTAAGAAAAATAGTTATGATTACCTGCTGTAATTTTAGGTACAATATCACCACTAAAATGTGGGGAAACGTATTCTGATCTGGAACTATTTGGAGGAGAACTCGATGGCGATATGTTCATAGGCGTGCACCTTTGTCTTTTAGTTGGCCTGCACATCGGGGGTTCAAAATCGAGTGATCTTTTTAGTGTAGCACAAGCCATATTCACGTTAACTTCAACAAACTTTATAATTTAATTCACCCAAAGTATCTAACGCGAACTTTTTTAAAAGAATAGAGAAATTAACTAGAACAATTAAAATAGTTTTGTAATAACAAAATGGCTTCTCAGAAGAACGCAAAGCGCAGAGCGAACAGAAACGGCAACGGACATACGTCGCAGAACAGCAGCACCCCGAGAGTGAAAACAAAAATGACTGACAATCTACATAAAATTCAGTTTTATGGAACGCTATGTCGATGCAGTGCAGCCAATTATAAAATCATTGAATGGTTCTCATGTTAACCAACTTTAACACGCAATTAATAATATTATTCAACCGGTGGCTTAGCGACTGTATAATTTACCATTCTAATAGAATTCAAAAGAATAATACATAGTTCACAGAGTTAAATATCACTTAAATTGATAAACCAATATTTTTCTATGAAAATTTCGAAATTATTAATATGAAAAAAAAATGAAGTAATAGATGGCATCCTTTAGATCACAATTTTATATATTAATAAATGAGGAACTATGCCTTTTCTAACTATTATAATAACTTTTTATTTACAACATATAGTTCATTGATTTTTACAAATAATTATTTCACTAATTTAACATAATTTTAGTATTTATTAGGGTAGTTATGTTTATAAATGTGTATTATGAATGTTAAAACATCACCTTATGCTTTAAATATAACTAATATTACAATTTAAACATTAAGTTAAAACGAAATTGATTGTCATATTTTCAAATAATTATCAAGAATAAGTATATAATGCCAATATTTTAAATTAAAATTAAGATATTTGTACCAAGATACGAATTACACTAAGTATGATAAATAAAATCAAAATTATCACACAGTTAATCACTGATTAACTTATTGTTGAAATTTATAGATTCTTACTTTATTGGACAACTAATGAATTTTTGGCAGACATAACCGTTTTAATTTACAAAATCTTAAGTTTAGTAATTTAAAAAATATTAAAGCGTTAAGTACTACTCTATCAACTGATTTTTAAATCAAAATGGTCTTTATTTATATCAAAGTTACAAACTTATTACTTCTCAACAAATTCTGTATTCTCCCGATACCTTTTAGCTTCGATGCGAAGCTGAGAAGGTATTAATTTTACCATGATGTGTTTATTTATTTATTTATTTTTTTTTTTTTTGTGTCTGTCACTACTTTTTCTCAGCTCTTACTGGACCGATTTCTTTTAACAATACGTCAAAAGATCACAAATTGTATCTAGTTGAAGACATTACCCTTAAAAAATGAAAAAAATTCCCTCGTTCCCCGAAAATGGGGAAAATATCCAAAAAAATTACAAATTTAAAAATTGACAAATTTTGTCATTTTTTTCACTTATTTTTCTTAAAACTTCCATAACTTTTTCAAATATTAACTAATCAAAATAATATTTCTTTACATTGAAACCTTATGTAATTTCCTTTCATTTGATATCATTCTTTTTTTTAAATCTAACACTTAACCTGCTCATTGGGGGGGATATAAAATAGCAACTTTTTTACAAAAACTAACTTTTTCAACTTAATTTTTGAAAATGTTCCGGAAATACTGCGTCCTTTAAACATATATCAAATTAAAGCTTATTTTATGTACTATAAAATGAAAAAAAAAATTTGTCCCGACGACCTATATTCTATGCACAAATGGCTACCGTATTCAAAAATATGCTATTTATTATTAAAATTCTAGGTTTTATATTTTATTTTATTTCAAAATATCTTATTAGGGGAATAAACTGACTTTCATGAATATTATATAATATCATTGATATAAAATAAAGTTCATAAGACATATGATATTATACTTATTAACATTTTTTACTTTTTTAAAGTCGAAAAAGTAATTTTTAATTTTGAGTTAGCTTAAATAGCTAATTTTATCATGCAACAAAAATCAACGAATAGTTGCCGAATGGGTAACACCTTGATCTTTAACGCCTAGGGTACGAGGTTCANGCAACGAACAGTTGCCGAATGGGTAACACCTGTACCTTTCAAGCTTAGGGTACGAGGTTCAAATCCATCTGTGGCAAAAATATTTTGTATTTTTTTTGAGTTAGAATAGAATTTTCAAATCATTTGATATTTATCTCATTTAGATTCAATAATTTCAATAAATATAAAGGATCTTATCACTATAGTCTCCCCTCGTGAGAAGAAATTGATATTCATGTTAATATTATTTTACTATGTGGTTCTTTTTCTGGCTACGATTTATTTTGCCAACCCTCACTAGACCTACTTTTTTCAACGATACGTCAAATGATTCATTTAAGTTTATGATATTTAAGTTAATGATTAGTTTAAGNTAAAGTTTAAGATATTTAAGTTAATGATTAGTTTAAGTTATTACTCTTAAAAATCAAAAAAGTATTCCTTATTCAAATAAAAAGTAGCTTAACCAGCTTTTTCCATACAAACAATTAAAATCATTAATTTTTAATATTCTTAAA